AATCAGATAAATTCTTTGTGCTACCCATTTTAGAACTTTGAACAATGTAATGTTTTAAACTTTGAACAATTTGTATTACAATTAGATATGTAAGCTAATTTGCATATTTCAATGCTTGAAACTAAACAATATTCTATTTAAGTCATGAAATGAGTGCCTGTCCGGACAAATATGTAAGATTTTTTGTACAAAATTTTCAAAAATATTATTTTCAGTGACAAAATGTTAATGTTTGATTAAAATTCTTATTTTGCAGTGTGGAAACATGTAAATTCATGTTATTTTTAATAAAACATTTGTCACTTAATGCAGCAAATTTGGGTTTCACTTTAATTTTTTTGTGTCTGTATAAATTTGAAATGCACCTTAGTGTCTGATCCTGATATCTTGACCAAGAAGACTGAGTCTTTATGACTCATACAACATGACTCATTTTCTCAGTGTTGATATTAAGAAAGTTTATTCTAGTGACAGATCCAGATAGAGATGCAAATTAAGATACTTTGTTCATGAAAATACCAGGAAGTCAATCATGTTTAAAGGAATTAAAAATTACACCATAGGAGTATTTCAATTTTCATATAAAGTCAATTTTATTTTTAATGTTAACTTTTATTTACTTTATTTAGTATTAAATCATATTTTATTATAAATTTGAGATTAGAATAATAATCCTGGACCAAGTAGCTGTGCAGAAAGTTAGTTTTATTTTTTATTTTTGAGCACTAATGGCAGTTGAGAGAACCATAGAGAGCCTATATAAACAATGTTAATTGGTTAGTGAGAATTTTATCTAAATGTTTTACAGTAATGTTCTTGTTAATCAAACTTGTTTATTTGATCTGATATCAGTTCTGACTTAATTGAATTATGTATGATTTAAAGTATTAATTTTTTAAAATGGAAGCTATGGTTAAATAACACATTAAGGAAATTGTTTTCATCCATACTGGAAAATCGTCTTCAACTTTGTATGGAGGAGTATGATATTATTACTTCTTATCAAGGTGCTTATGTAAGGTGACCAGATTTTAACATTGATGAAGCAGGACAAAATTGACAGGGGAGTGGTTATCTTGTAAAAGTTGTTCTAGAACAACAAAATTTTATCATCAAAGAATGCAAAATTGTATAATATTCATATTTTTAAATTTCAACATACTATACATGTTTATTATATTTGTAAATTTTACATATTATATTATAAATCTTTAAAAACTTTATTCTTTTGCATATTTCTCAGTTGAATTAATTTTTTTTTAGTAGATTGCTGTTGTTGTTTAAAATGTCATGAAATGTCAAGAACTTGTTAAATTATATTTCACAAATAATATGGCTTTCAAAGTCTCAACATTTAATTGTGATTTATCAGGTGTCTACACTTTATTTACAGTATAAAAAACGCATTCAGTTGTGGCATTAGTTACTGGTAAGGACAGTGCATATTCCACGATTTTTAATGCATTATTGTATGGAACATACTATAGTTTGCTTCAAAATTATGAAATATTTCTAACCATTTGATCTGTGTTGAGATTTTTGCCGATGTCCAAGATTTAACCTTTTCCTTATCAATATAATTTTTTTAATAATGATTATTCAGTAATATTTCCGTAAATGATCTTTTTAATATCTGGAAAATGTTGACTAATGTGATTGAATGATTTTTGCACATCTTCCCAATTAAGTTCTTGTTTTAATATAATCCAATGAAAATGTTCAATATCATTGTAATGTACCATCTACTCTTCTAAATAATCTAAGCTGTTATTATAGAACTTTTTGATGTGATTCATGAAATCTGCACAATTTATTGCACCTTGTTCTTCTAACTGACCTATAGTATTACAAATGGTTAATGGAAGAAAATTATTTTCTAACCACACTTGACACTGAAATTTTAAATTTTAAATTTCGTTTGTTACTTCAATTACCGAAAATTTGTCATCTTCAATAAATTTTACAGCATTTTGAAAAAAAGCTACTTGATTGTAGCCAAAGTTTTGAAGATTCATTTTCAAAAAACACTTCTAAAATTCTAGGACATTTATCCTGAGATAGAAAGTAGGATTTCAAAGAATCATATATTTTTAAAATTCATTCAACAGCTGGCAAAAGAGCTAATTAGCATGTTTTACTATATCCAAGTATTTTCTGATATTCAACTTTTGCAGTTTTACAAAATTCTTATATAACGAACGAACTGGATAAATATACTATTAATAAAACACATCTTTAATAATCCAGCTAATAAAAATTAATAATATAATAACGTTTTCGATTGTTTCTTAACGATCTTCTTCAGTTACCATAACATAGAATATGTTATGTTATGGTAACTGAATATGTTATGTTATGGTAACATAGAATATGTTATGGTAACTGAAGAAGATCAGGCAAACAACACGCACAGTGTATATATAGAAATATGAATATATTTTAATAATATTTTCCACATCTACAGGCAACAAGTCGGCAGCTGTTTGAATAGCATTATGTATTATGTGCACTGCACAACAAATACCAATAATGTTTTGATTAAGGTTTTCATTTAATTTATAAAAAAATATTATTCGTACCTCTTCTCGCTTTTGTGCTAATGCACACCTTAGTACTGATACGTGTGATACAAAATGATCTTTACAAATCTTAAACATAAGAAATAACTTTATGACACATAATTGACAAAAACTTAATCTTTCCAAAACTCGGGACTTTTTTAGAACACCGTGGGACAAGGGACAAATTGTTAGAAATTGGGACGGTCCTGCCGAAAACAGGACGTCTGGTCACCTTATGCTTATGTCAAGAACAGAGGAGCTGAATACAACAGTCTCACTTTTTAATACACTATTTCAGTTTTTGAACTGTTTGAAAAATGTACGATTTTTAGACCATTTCATAATTATATTCAGAAATAGGTAATATTTATTGCATGAATTGTAAGTCAAAGATGAATTACACACAAGTTATAGTGTTTATAGTGTAAAAATTTTAATATCCAATTTATACAAACAGTAGTCCAATTAACAATTTGTTGCTAGTCTAACAACCTGCTGGTCAGACAACAGTGAATGTATTCTATGTGTAAGTACAATGGTTGTGTGGATCAGTTATAAAAGGGAATTGATTGTTTTTGCTAACTATCTGAGTTAAAAAAATGGTGATTAAAGCAAACAAAGCTAGACTTGAAGTCATAATTAACTGTTAATTGTAACTATCACTGTAGGTTATTATTTAGTAAATGAATGTAGGTCCATATGGATAGTAAAATGTTTGTTGGTTGTTTGTAGCATCCATAATTGATGATGTCAGAAAGCTAGAAAACTGACAATTGTCTGCCAGAATCAATCACTTGACTCATGTGTTGTCACTTTAAAGTGCCCACCTAATGTCTTGCTTTTTACATTATAGGATCTGATGAAATTAGTTAATTTATATTCAAATTTGTTTAGATGCTTCTAGACAAATTAACTATAAATTAACTCATTTGAATTCATAAGTACATTAACTAAAAGGAATTCAATGATATTTGATTTCTTAAAACTAATAAATTTATTATTCTATACTTCACAACTGGGTGCATAGGTAGACACTGGGCATCTTTAACATCACTCTTTATTCAGGAATATCTTACACACAGATAGGCATTTTGGGCTCCTCTCATTAGTTGGCTTTATCTTTAAGTTTAGTGCACTAAATATAAAAATTTTAACAAGTGAATATATGTATTTTTAAAAGTATGTGCACCTCTATACCAAATGTCTTAAAGATAAAACCGATTGATGAGGGGCGTATGCCTGAAACTCATATCAACATGTAATATATTCCTGAATAAAGAGTGATGGTAAAGATGCCCAGTGTCTACCTATTCACCCAGTTGTGAAGTATAGAATAATAAATTGAAGAAGACACAGTTTTGGAATAAGTCAAAACTAATAAATTTATTTAATTTAAAATGTTTTATTTTGGAAAGCTAACAAAATTATGCTACAGTTCTTTTAAAATTGTATACAAATATCAAAATAAATAATTGAAGTTTAGAGCATTTACAAAAAGTCAAATTAACTTTTGAGTCCATCTTTATCCCTTATACACTACCACAGAAGTAACAGTCTTAAAAAATTGTTTTGAAGAACTCTTCTTAAACACAGGTAAAATTTGACATTATATTAGGGTTGTCGTTACTTTCGATGACATTATAATCGGGTTAAACTGTATATTGTTTGTGCAAAATAAAAAAATAATCTTGAACAATACAATAGCCACAATTGTTTTTTTCAAAAACAGGAACTTTTCATTATGCATCAACAAAAATTTAACCTGGGCTGACACGCAACGGAGAGAAATTTTGAAATTAGATAGGTTAATTTCATTGAAGATGCATCGTGGACGATCTCGCGTGGTCGTGGCCAGCAAAGTTTGAACGATCGCGCCCAAAAGCAGCAATATCAAAGAAGATAGGAGAATGAGAACGAGACCTGCCTTGAGCATCAAAGTGATTCCATATCCGAGACATAGTCTTGTCCCAAATACGGTTTTGCAGTTTTACTTGTTTTATTTTATTTTTGACTTATTTCATGCTGTGGTACTAACATGGCCTTTTAATCCTGCCTATTATGGTTTTAGACATGCCATAATGTGAATAGAGATGGTGAGGAACAGGAACTGATAGATCTTGATGAACTCATCCATGAAAATTATTGAGTTGACTTAGATTCAAATTTAGGCTCTCCAAAATAGTAGGCTCACTTATACCACTTTGGGCCACCTAATTGTGAAACTGTTCATATTTATACATTCATTATTTTTGGAAAAATTATGAAAAAATAGTAGTTTCAATCCTATTTAAATCAAATATAAGTTAATATTTCAAAAATTTAATAATGGAATAAAAAGATGTATACTATGAATTTTACTATTATATTTAACAATAATTATTTTTTCATTAGTTTATAAAGGAATCATTTTTATAAATATAAAATATTTTATCTTTTTAGTGATGTGGATGTTGAGTGTGAAGATAAGAATATTGCAACATTAAATCACTCAGGGAGTTCTTCCAATTCAAGTTTGTCTAATAGGTAATAATGTATCAGGTATTTAAATTAAATACTTAAGAAAATACTTAAATTGATTGCTATATTATTTTACAATTTAACTTGATACAACAGAATAAATTAAGTTTTGTTCCATTGTTAATTTAATAATAGTAATCAAGGTTTTTTTTATTTTTTAAAATACAGTAGTATATTTAAAGCTGTAGATAAGACAAAGAAGTATGCATAAGAAATACGGAGCAGTCATAAAGTCCTTACGCATACTAGTTAGAAGTTATTTTATGTTACTTTCCATTTTTTATGAAACCTAAATTTTTTCCCATATTTTCTCATGTTTTCCCAACTTCCTTATTAATAGTTAGAACTCATTAATGCAGTTCTTGATAGTTGTTTTTAGATCTTAACTGTCTGTTGTAAGATAAATTTGATTTCTTTTTTTTTTTTAACTAAATTGTCATGTGTTAAGCCTGGACTTTTGCAGGACCATGCCAAATCAAATCCATGTCCAGGCCATCAGCCTTTGAAAAGATTTTCTATCTAAGAAGATTAGTGTACAGTCTCTCATATGAGGGCTTTGTAGCTGTTTTATATTTACAACATAATCACATACAGTAATTTGTAATACTGATGTGATTTTTCAAGCAATATTGTTTTAATTGAAATTACTGTATATTTTAAATTATCATGTAATTAACTGAATAATAGAGCTTAAAAGAACAAAATCAAACATTGTTCTCAAATATGTTTTATAATTTTTATATACATTAAAATCAAAATGGAAACAAGCCAAAGTATTAATTTAATTATTTTGACTCTAACAGATATTTAATTACTAAAGATAAAATTATTATGTTCCAATTATTAATTTGTTCTTTTGACTGTAAATCAGATCTGGCTATAACAATAAGTTTTCAGGCTTAATATTATAAGAAAACAATATAAACAAAACTGTATAACTACTGCTTTTAGAAACAGAAAATGCTATTTAGCTTAGTCTTTTCTTTTATTATTTATTTGATGGGAATTGTCCAAATTTTCTCTGTCATCCACTTTTTATGTCATTTCTATTGTCATTTCATTTAAAAAATGTTTTATGTCTTTTTTTTCCATTTCCAAGTCTTTTAAAGGATCTTGAAAAGAAAGAAAGATAAAAAAAATATTTTCTTTTTGCTGTTTATTCTTATTATTTGAACCATGTCCTGATGTCATTCTGAATGTCTAAAGCATCTGAGAGTTTACTTCTATATTTTATTTCTAATCACAACTACTATCAAATCCCTTCCAATATATACATTTCTAACTCCATTTCTTCTTGATGGATCACATTTTTTCCTTAACATTAAATTATTGCCATATTCATCTTTTATTCTTTGTATTTTTTTATTAACTAATTCTGTACTGAATACAACCAACATTATTGATCTGAAAAAGTTTTGTTTTAATCTTGCAAGTATTTTTTTAATATTCACACAACTTATCATTTGTCTATTTCAATCTCCAGCCTATTAGTTAAACATTAATCACCTCTCCATTACATTGTATTATTAATTCTAAATAAAAGGATTTATTGTATGTTTGATACATTCATTTACTATTTTTTTTTATGAAAATGTTTTTTTTATAATGATATTCACTAAAGTTAGATTAATAACTTCAGTTAACCATTTTGAATTCTCTATATATTTAGTACTTACTCTCTTTTTAAATTGTTAAACTCTTAATCCATATTGAATCATCTGCAAATAATTAATGGCTATTTCTCTACATTCTATGCAGTCAGTTCATTCAAAACCAAAACAATTAGATTTGGATTAAGTGATTTCATTTTAATCAAAAATTTCTTAATTTTATCATAGATACTTTTCATGAACTTAATGTACTTGCTACAAATAATTCTAATATATCTATAGAATTACACTGCCTACTAGATATCTCACTAGACCTTACTATTTGATTTTTCTCAGATCAATAAAGACCAAATGCAAATCTTTTCTCCTCTCTCACTAAAAGATAACCTCCATTATTGACCTATCTGGCATAAAGCCAAAGTAGCTTCTCTGAGATTTTGATTCATCTTTATGAATGAAAAATCTCAGAAAAGTTGCTTTTGTTTTGTTATTTGTCTCTTTTTTAGGGTTTAAATGGAATTTTTTATCTTAATCTTCAAAAATGCAGAGAACTACTGTATATGCAATAAAATGCTATACGTATTTAAGTATCATATATTTTTTTTTTTAGCACATTTCTTATGATATTATACATTTAAACTTTAGTTCTGAAATTAGAACCTTCATTTATGACACTGAAACTATCGTAAAATTTTTGCAATTCAATTTATGATAACTTACTTAACAAGAATTTTCCAGGAACTAATTAGATTGTAAAAATGAAGTTCTGTTGTATATATTATGTATAAATGGTTTTCATAAAATATTTTTAAGGATTATTTTTTAGTTATTAATTTTCATAATTATAAAGACTAAATATATTCTTATATAGAATAGTTTATGTTATGAGTTAACTTACACTATTTGCATATCTATTGAAAAGTTTTATTGTTCAAACTTTACTATTGATGTTTCTAAAAACTGTCAAATGAAAATTTTCCTTATATATATGTATTATTATATCTGAGTAATAATGCACAATTCTTTTATAAGGAAGAACAGATTCTATTAGTTTGGTGGATAAAATTTTCAAATAATAAATAAAACTTCAATCTCTAAGTTATATACTGTATTCAAACTTTTCTTTATTAGAGCTCTCACTAATATCACTCTTAAGTACATGCACTTCCAGGCAACTACAAGACTTGGAAGATCTTTATGAGTATAAATGTATATCATTTAGATTGCTGATTGAAAAGGTATAGATGAAGATTTAAAGTCTCTAGAGAAGATAGACTGAAGTCACTAGTAAGATATTTTAAAAAACTTTTATGAAGAAGGTTGAATAAATGAGAAAGCAGGAAAAGATGTGTAAGGAAGAAAAAGATAGAATAGTTTGCATACATTATGTAGGGAGGTGGAGAACTTTTCTACAACAAGCTAGAGAAGATGACAAAGAAAAAATTATTCTCAAAAGGAACTGTAGTCTTCATGATTTGGTCAGAAATGACAAAGGGGAAAGAAAAGAGAATAGCAAGAAGGAGGTACATGTAATTCCATTAAAGAATGAATAAAGTCTGTATGCGAGCCACAAAACAATTGCTACAGACTAAAATAGAGGAACACATGAGAGATATCAGGACAAGAAAAATTACTATCATGCTGTGCCAAGAAGCTATTAGTAAAGAAGCACAAAAGATTGGAAAAAATAAGGGAAAGATCTGGTTTGTAAGGTTACTGAGAAAGTATTGGAGGATAAAAGGAGTTTGTTTATCCTGAGAGGTAAAGCAATTAATTGCAAAAATTCAGTTATTACCAAATGCTTGGAAGCAACTCTTAAATGAGGAGTACAATTAATTAGGGAGAGTATATTTTGTTTCCTTTTGTGGTTTTAGATTTTACATGAAACTAAAAAGAGTAAGATTTAGAAGGTGAAATAGGTAATTTGTGTACAGCAATTTTGGATGGAAATGTTGTATTATTATAGTTATCATTTTTGGTGTTGATGTGATGTAACAATGTAGTTTTTTCTGGAAACAGTAAATGCCACAGGTATGTGTGAAAGGGATGTGTTAAGTAAGTTTTCCTAGTAGAGGGAGGTATAGTTAGTAGTTTGGCTGTCAACAGTTTTTAGATAGATTAGCATCCAGACAGACCAGTTTTGAACAGTATTTGAACACAGTTGACTTTGCAATCAGGCTAGTTTACTGTTCTGTTTACAGGCTTCGTTGCCAAAAAGTACTTCAAAAAGTGATATTTAAGTTAGTGAGCTCGAATAAATAGAATTTTAGTTTATGAATTTTTACAAGACTAAACATTGCCAGCCTAATAATCAGACTAATTCCCCAGAGCTTCTGAAAATTTTGGTTAAAGCTGATATTGATGAAGCACACAGAGTGATTATTAAGCATAAATAAAAATATCTATTTGATAATCTTTGAATTTAAAAATGTTTTGAATGCATTGTTACTTTAGCAGATTTAAATATATATTCTTCTTTGTCTAAGGCATTTTCTCATGTTAATTTTGTGTTCAACTACAGCAATTGAATAATGCAGAAAATGATCAGAATAAAAGTATAAATTTTATGAGCTATTCTATCAGTTATTTTGTTTATGCCATTACCTTGCCAACTACATTTACAATATATTGTATTTATGTTTTTTGTTGTTATTTATAATAATGATAATTAAACATAAATGTGTTAGTGCAAATAAAATATTCACAAGTCTTAAGCATTTTAAACCAAGCTCTATACGTACCTATTCATAATTCTGTAATTACATTCATTTACTGTTAAAGAAATTCTATTGCTTAATACATGATGTCTTTTTATTCATATTTACTTCTCTATTTAATATATTGATATTAAATATTTATTTTAACTTTGATATTAATATGTCTTCTTACATTATAAACAAATAACATTCTATCAGGTCAGTCCATAAGTTCATGCTTATTTTATGACCTTGAGAAAAATCTTGTTTTGCTGTTAAAAATGCCAGTCTAATGTGATACTTTTTACACTGAAGTGTTAAATTGGATCTCTTTCATATAATACTGTTCAGAACTGGAAACATTTCAGTTGTTTATTTTCGTTAAAATGGAAGTAACAGATGAATATAAGAGACATGTTTTATACTTTTTATTTTTAAGTGATGAGAATGCTACAAATGCAGCCAAAAAATTAAATACTGTTCATAATCAAACTGTAATTAGTGTAAGGACTGTGCAGAAGTGGTTTGAAAGATTTAGAAATAATGATTTTAGTGTGGAGGATAAGGCTCGTACTGGAAGACCTGTTGACTTTGATAATGATGCTCTGTCTGCACTAGTTGAAGCAGAACCATCTTTAACAGTTGATGAAATTGCGGAATGTTTAAATTCATCCCATGGAACTGTTCATAGACATCTACAACAAATCGGAAAAGTTTCAAAGCTAGGAAAATGGATACCACATGAACTGTCAATAGCTAACTGACAACAATGTCAACTGCTCAACTCAAAAGCTTCAACTGGAAAATTTTACCTCATCCACCATATTTGCCAGATATTGCTCCCAGTGATTATCATCTTTTTCGGAGTTTGCAGAATTTTTTAAAAGGGAAAACTTTTGAGGATGAGAACAATGTAAAAAAGGCTATTTCTGAATATTTTGATTCAAAACCGAAATCATTTTACAAAGACGGGATTAAAAAGATTACCATCAAGATGGCAAGAAATTATACAAAGTAATGGTGAATACATTATAGATTGAAATAAAATTTAATTAAAATTTTTTGTTGCATTTTTTGTAGATAAAAATACACATGAACTTATGGACTGACCTGATAATATGTTATTTAAAATTAAAAACTACTACAGTTGACCCCCCCTATAACACTGTTGATTATTCCGTTTTATATGAATTCCATGTTGTACGAGTCACTTAGATTTTACAAATACGTGAGCTGTTCACAGCCCGGCCCACATATTTGTAAAATCTAAGTGACTTGTACAACATGGAATTCATATAAAACAGAATAATCAACAGTGTTATAGGGGGTCGACTGTATAATTATTGTTTAGAAGTTCAGTTTAGATTTAATTTTTATTGTATTGATTTGTCAGAATTTGCTATCCAGACTGAAAATGATATGAAATCATATTATTTGTTATACATCTGTACATATTTTTAGTGATCATGTCTAGTTAAATGAGAAATTGAATATTTAATTTGATATATAGATTTCTGTTTTGTAATTTACTTATCATTAGTATAAACATTATCACTGATTATATAGCATACAGATTTTAAAAATTTGATGAAAAAAATGTTTAAGTCATTATTAGAAAATTAATGAAAAGCCAGTATCCACAAATAAGAAACTATGAGTATTATGTGATAATTTTTTTCATTCCCAAGAAATTTATCATACATTTTTCATCAGACTTCTTTATTCTTTAAAGAATAATTTTAGACATACATATTTTACCACATTGTTAAAAACTCTTATTGTATTAAAAACTTAATAAATTGTATTTGTTAATTATTTTTTTTTTTATCAATTAGAAGTCTTGATAGTCCTTGTAACTCTCTGGAAATGGTTCATCGGACTCCAAGTGGATCCCCAGCTGATTTTTTATCTGGTGGAACTGCTCCTGCAGCAGGTGTGCAACCTGTCTGTTCTAACAGTACTATTCAACATTATGATGATTCAGATTTAGAAGCAGAAGCCGATCCTCCCAATTGGCAAGGAAACATAGATTGGGAAACTATTCGATTGTTGAAGCCAAAGGAAAAGAAACGACAAGATGTCATCAATGGTTAATATTTAAATTATATTCAATATTTAGTTTATATGCTTATATTATATAAGATATATAGAATATTGTTTCACGTTATTTTCTTGCCAAGTATACTGCTAGAAAGATTTTTTTGAAAATTTTTTAGAGATATAAATTGAAGATAAAGTAGATAACTTTTTCATTTGAATAAATAATGATTTACTGCTTATTTAGTTATTGAAAGTCATATTCACTTCTATTCATACCATACAATTCACATGACCATTATTGCTACAAATTTTTCGCTTTTCGATCTCTGGTAATGAGGGCCCATATGCATTGTTCAGAGGCGAGTGAAAAGGAATTGTCATGGATCAAGTTGCTGACTACACAGCATGGGTACCTGGCTCTTTGGTCAAATCTCTCATGAAACAATACTGCTTATTTAATTTACATTAATATTTCCAGAAAAATACTACTATAGAAGTATTTTTGCTCATAATTTTGAACAATTTGGTGACTTGCTTGTTTTTAAAGAAAGGTTTTCTATTTGTTCTTTAATATGATCCTTATTCAAAAAGGATTACGTAAAGTTTATATATTTTTCAAGGAATAATATCTTTGTAAATTGATTAATATATATTTGAAATAATGAAATTTTATATTTAGTTTTCCTTTAGAAGATTTACAGAATTTATTTATATTTATCAAGAAAAGAATTTCATTAACAGACATCCTATATAACAGAACTTAATAAATTTCATTATTTAGAGGCAAGTAACAGTTTGTACAAGATGATCAAAAGTAAATATATATTTATTTTTTACTCATAGCTTTTGAAAAATTTAACAATTACAGAATTTAGATTTATAGCATGTCTGTATTTGAGAGATATCATAAATTCTGCTCTTAAGTACTGTTATAATTGTTATTTTAGTCAATAACAATTATGAAATTGAATTGACTCAAATGGCAGAATATTAAAACAATTTTTCAGAATCTAATGATTCAAAATCAGTTATCTTTTACATTCTTTAGTGATTTTATAATATAATTTACATTATTTATGGTCTTGAAAAACTTGAAAAGAAAAGAGGAAACAGCTCAGGATTCACTAGCATCTGTAGTTCTAGTTTCATGTCCTATCATCATAGAGGATTAGGCTATATCATGCTATAATGCCTTTAAAAGACAACAGTGGAGACTTTTTGGATATTATAATCATTGGCAAAGCAATAAAATTTGATGCCTAGGTCTACAGCAAAAAAGAAAAAAGTCCTATACATACATACTACGTAGATATCAAGTCTTAAGTAAGTTTTTGTAAAATATATATTGTGGTATAGGTCTTATATTCATCTGGGACTAACATTTTCACATTTTCATGTGCTTTGATATTGGAATACTCTCAGAATCATGTTTAGAGGAAAAATTTATATATATATATATATATAGAGCCAGCAGATGATGTATCAGTGTTTATTTGTATACATAATTTATTTACATAAAACAAAAAGTTGTGGAATAATCATGTACTCTAAACCAATTATGGTGAATGTTTTTGAACTCCTTCTGAGTTCTTCATCAGGTTTTTTAATGATTCCTCGATGATTCTTTATTTTGGAATAAAATTCGAACAAGAGTTTGAATATAAGTTCGAAAAAATTATTAAAGCCAAGTCGTGTCTATGCAAAATGTTGCCCTACCAGGACTCGACAAATGGCTAAACCATGTTGTCAATCAACTCTTGTCAGGCCATTGACAAAACCATTTTCTCTTTATAATTTATGCATGTAGATGTAAAACTAGATTTAAAAATGTGCACAGCCTCCAACCATTCCTGGTGTGGTGAGTGGTTGCTTACTGTTCTGGAATAAATTAGTTTCAAGTGTTTTATTAAAACAAAGAAAGAAAATAAGAAAAACAAAACTTTTCTTACCATATTTTGGAGAGGAAGAAAAACAATTTTTTGAAAAACTTTTGTTTCCTTATTTTTTTTTTATACCCCTTTTTCCTATCACAACTTGCCTTTTCTTTGCTAGTTTCCTCTGCCTTCTTTCCTCAGGGTTACTTCTACCTGACAAAAAGGTAGAAGTAACCCTGTTGTCCTTCTAATTCAGCCCATGACCTGTCCAATGAACTCATGTTGACCAGACCACAGGTTGAACTTTCCTGAATTTTTGGTCATGAATCTTTCTGAATAAACCTGTGTCCTGAGGATCGAATATACCAAATACATTAGACATTATTGAAAGACTGGAAAATGAACAGTGCTAGTAAAGATCAAGAAGCAATGGTTATTAGACTACAATATAATTATTAATTATTTTATATATAAAATAAAATATAGCATGCTTCTAAATTATTGATTCTGTCCAACAATTAAAAGGGATGTGTAAAGACTCCAAAATTTTTTTTTCTGTTAGACTTTCTCATTTGTAATTTTACAAGATATTTCCATCTTGGTTATGTAAAAGTTTAAATTATTGTGGGGATTTTGTATCCTACAACTTTCCAACTGGAAAAACCAAAATAAAAGTGAATATGAAAGTATAACTCAAAGTTTTATTTGATAAAGCTGTACTTGTCAAACTAATACCTGGAAGATAATATGATGTCTTCAAAATGGTGATTGATCAAGAGAAAGTAGTGTTCATACTTTGGCTATTCAGAACAAAGTCCATTATCCATAATGCAATGTCATTACAGAACTCAGTATAGAAAAAAATTCATCTTCAGATAATGCTATCCAATGTTGGTTAAAGCAATATCACATTTTCCCAAATGCTGGATTGGGCATGGTAGACCAGTTTCATGGCCTTCATTCAATTGATGTGAAGTTCCTTGATTTATTCCTGTGGCTATATATGACAGACATTGTTTACAAGATCCTTATGACTTCCCTTAGAGAACTGAAGCTCAGCATTGTTGCTGTGTAGAGACAGTTATATCACAAATGCTGGAGAATACTGGGAAAGAAACTGATTATTGCTTGGAAATCATATGTCCCATGAAAGGTGTGCATGTTGATTAAGGAGTTTCTACATAAGATCCTATGTAGAAACTCCTTAATTGAAAATTAAAATAAACATATAAATAAGTTAATAAAATTTGTGATAAATATTTAATAACTATTTCTTAATGATATTTTCTAGTAGTAAATACTGTATTTTTGTGCATATAATCCATGGGGTACTTGTGTTTAAAAGATAATTTCAAATGATTCAAGTTATACAATGGGTAGGTTATATTTCAATTTTAAATTTCAAATAAAAGCTGTGTCTATGGAGTAATGCTCCCATAGATGTGGGGTATATGTTGAGGTGGGTTATGCAAAGGTTTTATTTTTGTTTCAACAATTTTCTTCAAGTTATACACTAATGCAGGTTAAATGCATGAAAATAGAGTACGTGTAAATAAACATTCTTTTATGTGTATAAGTCTTATTAGACTTATACATGATCAAATGGATAAAGGATAAGTGATTATGGCTACAATAGGTCTTTCTGGCATTGATAATTCAATTGAATTGTAAAATAATGAATATTTTTCACGGACATACAGATATATTGAAAATTTATACAACTATACTGTATAACTCAGTATAACTTGGCAAATTAGTAATGTTTGTTATTAATGTTTTTTGGTTTCTCATTTAGATATCTAATAAAAATTTTTGTTTAATAATTTGTTATTAATTTATATTTTTTTGTTTGTAGAATTATTCCATACTGAGAGGACACACGTGAAAAATTTAAAAATCTTAGACAGAATATTTTACAAACCTTTATTAAATGAAGGATTATTACCTTCAGAATTCCTTCAATTATTATTTCCAAATTTGGAAGAAATGCTAAAAATACACAATGAATTTAATACACTAATGAAAGAAAAACGTAAAAAAGAATCAATTGTAGGAAATATAGGAGAAATGATGTTACAAATGGTAAGATTCTTAATTAAGTATATAAAATACTATAAAATTTATAAATTTAATTTAAAAGAAATATGAAATTATTTAGTAATATATTTAAATATGGTCAATTAATCTAATTTACATTGTGATAAATAGCCATTATGGTTATATTCTAATTGAAAATTAATACAGTGTATGATTTTATTTCTAATAAAAGAATATTATATATAAATTTAAAATTTGTTTGGATGTATTTTCTCTTATATGATAATTGGTTTAGTTGTATTAGCTACTGTAAAACATCACATTTCACATATATATTGTTAAATACATCTAATCAGCAGCCGGATGGCTGAGCGGTCAAGGTGGCAGCCTACCGCTCTGGGAGGACCCGGATTCGAATCTGAACAGGTTGAAAAATTCCCAGGAATTTTTTGGGGGTGGTCCGTTCGGATATGTTGGGCCCCGTCCCTCACCACCCGGCAGCCCCATTATGGGTTTGGCCAGGCCCATAATGGGCTTGCAAAAAGAGGCCCTCTTAGTGCCCACATGGCAGAAAGAGTTTAAAAAAAAAAAAAAAAATACATCTAATCAGGGTCACCTATAAGAATTATGGGTTTGCTAGCTAGTGCTATCCAAAAGACCTCCACAGATATGAGACTGTTTAGCTTAGAGTAATTGGGGATGTAGAGTCCAAATATTATGTGTAGCATTACCTAATTTTAATACGTATTTTGATGCATGTTTTTAACTGTAGTTTTTATTATTTGTCAGGTTTTTAAAGATGTTTGTTGTAATGGGTGTCAGTAATTATATATTCCATTGGAATTCTACTCTATAATTTTTAAAAATAAATATATTAAAGCAGTTCAGTAATTGTACTAATGACATCATATTCAAATTAACAACTCTGTAAACTTATAAAACAGCAACTGCACACCGGGTTGTATATAGCAAAATATGAACTTTTGTAATAAATTTCTGTAAACTTACTAATTTTTATTATTTTCTCAGCACATTCTCTGATCATGGTTCTCTAACATATCACACTGATTTCCTGTGGACAGCAATGCATCTGATAAATGTTATTTCTTTATTAATCATTATTTTCAATGTTTTTCTTCAGAAAAGTTAATAAATTTTGAAAATTAATTATACAATTTAAAATTAAACAAGAATATGTAAGCTGTAAATTTATTTTGAATCTTATGTTTGCTGCTTATATTTTATTTCAGTTTGATGGAACATCAGGAGAAAATCTAAAACAAGCTGCTGCAATATTTTGCAGGAATCAATCTATTGCATTAGAAAGTCTTAAAATAAAACAAAAGAGGGATCAAAAACTTGGACAATTTTTATCTGTAAGTGATTACATAAATTTTATATTCTCTGTTTTTTTTCCTCAAATAGTACAGATTTTATTTGCTAATTATATCATGGTGAGAATTTCTTAAAAAATAAAAAAAATCATTTTTAAAAGATAAAACAAGACTGGAAAAGTATGTCAACAACTTACAAATAAACACCTTCTTTTTCCAGCAACATTGAGCATAGATATACTATTGAACAGAACAAGCCTGTCATTGCCTTAGCCATAAACACTACTGAGTTGGGTGAAAGCTAATTTGAAGCTAATTTGGAAATTTTTTCAGAGTGTCTTCCACACTGACAACATTAGGACATTAGTTACAGGAAATATTTAACATATTGACTACCATGAGTTTTTTGCACAAACATGTCTTGAGTGCTATTTTGATTATGCAATGTGTGTTTGCTGTTATAAATTTTTATATTTATTTTTAAGTATAATTGGTAGTACAGTAGAGCCTCGAAAACTCGGCCTTATGTGGACCGAAGGGTGGCTGAGTTTGTGAAAATGCCGGGTTATCGGAAATGGCGTTAAAAACATAAGTACGAGTGTGGAGTCTTCAGAAAATACTGTACTATACTTGTATGTATTGTTTGCTTGAGAATACGACAAAGAATAAACTGCCCAAATATCCTTAAACAAAGGAAAAGTATGTACTTTATGAAGGCAGAGCCATTACTACATGAAAATGAAAATTAATGAATACACAGTGTACAGTAATTTACCTGATAAGACAGACCCCAAAAAAATACTTTGAGGCATAAAGCTGTCTATAATGAAAATGAATTAACTAAGGATTTTTTTGCCCTGCCAGGGTGTGGCCAAATTATCTGGAGTGCCGGGATATCGAGTGCCGAGTTTTCGAGGCTCTACTGTAATATTTAATATTTAGCAAAAAAATATTGATGTGAATTATCTCATAGTGGGCATGTGAAGTGCTTTTCTTTTGCAGACACTAACTATGAGATAATTCGGGTAATATAAATAAATATGATTTTTTATTTTTTAATGTTTTCAATATTTTTTCAATAAACTTTTCCTTTTATGATACCAAATTGATTTGTCATTCATATTCCAAGCACAAATTAGCCAGTTTGGTATTATATTTACTATGATAATATTCCTATCTGGCAATCAAAACAGAAAATTCTCACCTCAATTTAAACTTTTTTACAGTTTGTTCTATAACTCCCAATTCATGTGTCATTCTCATTCCCAAAGGCCCACCATTAGCCAAGTGGTTCTGTTCCCTGAACACTGGAAATTTGATTGTGGGTTTGCACCTTGCCAGGATGGGCTAGCCACATGGAATTTTTCAGGTTTTCTCCAAGTCTGTAATACCTGAATAGGGGACAGTTACCCTTAAAAAGACCCTCCAGAAGGCATTCCCCTAGGCAGATTGCCCAAGTGTTGCATTGCCATAACTTAACAAAACAAACAAACAAGCATTCTTGATGCTCACTAATCAGTTATAATAACTACATGAGAAAAGTCTGTAAAGTACTATTTTTAACTTATCGCTCTACAACGAATTTTGTTCCGGAAAGAGCCAATACCTAACGGGTACTTTACGCGGGTTCACATTTCTTAGTTTGCCAGGCCTGGACTTTTCGCGTGCACCGAAATAAATTAGAGACAAGTTAGTCAAAATCAATAAAAGTATTTAATAAAGATCTAGGAATAACTATTTACAATATTTATAACAAACAACAAATTTATTCAATCAAATAAAATCCAAAAAAAGTCAACCCGACAAAATCACAATCTTATTCTAACTTAGAACTATTCCCCTTGAAATTCCGACAAAAATCAATCCTTAACTTAAGGTACAGAAATTCTTACAACTACAAATCCTAACCGTCACATCAATTATACTAGGAACCTTTTTTCCAACTCAAGACGTTTCCTATTCCTCGATCCACAAATCGAAAACTGCAATTGCTTTGGACTATTTCCTATTGGACACCTCGTTCACTGCTACTAGCAGACCACACTTATTCCTTTCAGGAGCTCACCTCTCTCGTCTTCACTTGAGCTACACTATTTATAGTCTGAGGTGACGTCACAGTTTCTATGATGAGACACTCCCCTCATTTACATACTTACACGTAACATTCACTTTTTTCTTACTTATCTGGTAGCTTAATTCCCGACAATACTTTTTAACCTTTTACAGTCTTTTCTTGAACAATTATCGGGATGTTTCCTTTAAGGTTTAACAAGTCCCTAAAAGTCTGTAGGGTCTTCCCCCCTTTTCAGTGCGGGCTTACTATCTGCCGCTCGGGCGTTCACGTGAGTGCAATTGCTAGCTATGGCGCTTTCTTTGCGTCATCGGTGAGTTGGTTTTATCTTCTCTTTTTTAACTTTCTAAGGTGACGGGTGAGGAAACCTTTGTCCTAACTAAACATAAGCCCCAAACAAAATATAATAAAAGCAAAATAAAAGTAAAATAAAAATAACGCTCGGACTTGGTTCCTTACAAGTCATATCTGGCAAAACATGACATACATTATATGAGTTATCTCATCGATAGCACCTGCTGTTCAATGCTGCCAACTATAAAATGATTCATAGTTGGCAGTCAATGTGTTAAGGTGGCAAACATGAGTAACTGCATCAAGTACAAGGAGGATGATATCTTGTTTTATAGATATTTGGAAATTTTTTTACAATACTCCTTTGTGGAGTAAGAGGTCAGGTGAAGTAGAATGGGAAAAATAGTGTCAGGAAACACAAAAGTGAGAAGAAACATTGATTTAGTCCACTCATTTAAAGACACATGTGTACAACTTTATAGATGTCATATTTAAATATAGTAGTAGACAGGTTAATACAGTAGACAATTATTTGCCTTATTAACTATATGTTTTTATGCTATTTGTATTTGTAGTTTTATTGTTTTATGCATGTCATATGACAATATTTTAAAATTTTACTTTGAAAAAATTTTTTAAATTGTTAATTAACTGGAATGCTCATACATTTGAATATCTGCTGTAGAAACATTATAATTTGGTTGTAGATCTGACAATGGCCTATTAAATAGGTCAAAAACTGTTTTTTCATTAAAAGTGTTGCTGGAAAGAGGTATTTATTTGTGAATTGTTAAAATAATTTTTTCTTAACCCTTTTCCATCCTTTGTGCATGTCCATCATGGATTCATCCATGTCTATAATATTACTAAGGGATGGTGAGGAATGAAATCTTATATATTGTGATGTTGAAAGCAACTAGAATAATGACAGAGTATAATGTAAAGAACAAAACTTTATTTTTGTGTTTGAACATAAGATAAAAAAGGGGTTCCCAACTCTAGTGTGTCTCCCTATTGTGGACACTTTTACACAGTGATATGATATAACCAATGATTATATACAAAGGAACTCCCTCAGTTGCTATACATGGTCACATACACTAGATTTGCATCACGTACATATACAATTTTCTATCGCGCTTATAAACTATCTTAATCCTATATTCCTAACCTACTTAATCCTAGAATAGAGAAATTAGAGAAGGAGAAGAAGATCCTAAGAAGAAATAAGTTTTCAGAAAAGGGTACCTGTTGCTCTATGTGTCTCTCGATGAATAGGTCCAAAGTTGAGTTTTGGAATTCTTTCAAAGTTCACTACTATCTATTTTGCTTTTCTTTCCACCAAAGGTCTACCTTAGTTATCTTCAGACAAATATTCTCTGTCTTGTCTCTCTTGGCCCACCATTGTCCTCACGTGCTAACCATATTTACCACAGTCGCACCCAATGCTGCTCTTTCAACCCAGAGCTCATTGTTCGCACATCCTTCTCCTTAGGTGTCTCAGCCAAAAAGTATCTCAACCACATAGAACTTGCCCTCAGAGTCTCCTCCTCTCTATTGTTTATTGATCACACCCTTGGAAGGTAGGTAGGGATAGGAAGGTTAGGGATAGAAAATTCTCAAAGTTGTGAAACAAAGAACAAAAGAAAGTGGATAGGTTCGAAAGGGAAATAAGAGAAAAAATATATAAATAAACTTACAAACTATACATGAACCATATCATCATGCCACAATATTTAGATAAAACCACTAAAAAATTTATATGAATTTAACTCAGTCTTGAACCTAGATCCCTTAGAACAGTAGGCTCATGCTATAACAGGCTTAGTGAATGTTGATGTTGATAAAGCAATAATTTTGATCTTACTGTTTCTTGCTACTATGCATGGCACAGACTTCTATGGAAGAGATTTGTTTAATCTAGTGTGATATGACAAATGCATCAAATGATTGGAGGTCTATGTCAAAAAATAATGAAAATGCCTCTTTTCATCCATAGTATACTTGGTCTCTAGAATAAAAATTTCTGTTAATAGCAGATCCAAGAAACTTAGTTTCAGATTATCCCATGTATAGAAGGGTCCACAAACTTCTTTTGATTTAAGAAAAGGTCTTTAGATCTCAGTAGTTTGGGATGATATGCATATAATTATTCTTCATATTGATGTTGCAATTTCTTCCAAACAATTAATTTTAAATCAAACTTTTATACATGTTTATAAAACTTATAAATTATTAAATTTGTTCATTTGTTTTATTTTATTTTTGAATAAATTTTTGTAATGTTTTAGTATACATAAATTGAAAATTCTTTTGAAAAAATATAAATTTCTGAATTTTAATTTAGAAAATAAAATATAATTATTAATAATTCAATGAGCATTTATTACATTTATTTAACATTCATTTGAATGTTAAATAAATGTAAAATTTTTATTGTTGTGTGCAATGATCAAATGCTTTTATGACAATTTCATTAGTCTATGATTAAAATGGAAATATTATAATATATAACTAAATTTATTATTTTTTGTTTAAGGATGCAGAATGTAATCATTTATGTCGGAGATTACAGCTGAAAGATATAGTTGCCACAGGTTTTCAAAGGCTTACAAAATATCCCCTTCTTTTAGAAAATATTGCCAAGTATACAGTTCGTAAGTTCTTAAAATAAATTTATATATTAAAAACTAGGTTTAAATTATGTTGTTGCATTCTTTTTTAATGTTAATATTCTTTTGTAATTATTGTCAAACTTATATTTGTCGAAATATATTATCTGCTGAGTACCAACAAGTGTGTCTTGATTAACAGATAATACAATAGAATACCTGGAATTCTAAAATAATGTAAATTAATTCTGATTTTTTCCTTATGTTTATACATTAATTATTATGTAATGAAATACACTGATTTGTTAAATAATTTTAATAGATATTCAAATATATCACTTTTATGTTAAAAGATATATATTTTTTCTATTTTTATTGTTATGATGATCCAACTTGTTTTCTTTTAATTTAATTTTTTGTTTGTTTTTGGTGTCACCTGGGCAAATTACCAGTTTTTGCAACTTAGCAAGTTGATGGGACTGCCTTCTGTAGGCAATATTGGATAATTTTAATTTAATTTTTTAAGTTTTTGTCTTATGTAGATTTATTTTCCATAGTTTAAAAAGACACAGAGTAGAAATAGGAAGTCCACTAATATTAAATAATATTTTTCAATCTAATTTCTCTTTATATTTATCATTTGGCATCATTCTTTCATCATTTTTGCTAAAAAATTGGTAGTTTCTATTTTAATTGGCAATTAGAGCAATAGAATTTTAATTAGCAATAATTAGTTGCCAAGAAAATAAGAAAAATTCACTTAGAATAAAATTTAAATGTAAGATAAATATCAAATATATTGAAATTCAATTATTGTATTTTATATAATTTCAATATTGAAGTTATCTTATTTATTTCATGTTAGTGATAACTTATATGAAGTATGCCATAACATTGTAAATGCCATTTTTCTCTAAAAGCTTTTTATTGAAGAATTGAATTCTAAATGAAATGTTTTTTGCTGCAAAATAATATTGCAGCAAAAAAATATATATTGTGGCAATAGTGGTGCTGTAAATGGCTGTATTTTGAAATTGAATTTATATGTGAAGCCGTAATATTTAAAGCATTAAAGTGCAATTCATGTGACTTTTAGTTAGCACTTAAATTGTATTTTATATTTACATCATTTCAATATTCCAGCAAATTTGTAACCTAGTAAGTTTTTTACCATTTTATTGTAAAATTGAATTCATTCGCTAAAAAAAGTGTTTTTTTACCCCTCCTGAAAAGTTTGTTTTTTTTGATTTTACAATATTATGGCATTTACAATACATTTACGATATTATGGCATTGCATGCTTCATATATTCTGTACTGTATGGGCAGCATCTGTCGTCAGAACTCTGCACTTAATTACATGCAGAATTGAGTTATTTTTATTCTAGAAATCACATTTGGAATTAACATGAAGTGCAATATAGATTTTAGAATGTAGTTTTAATAGATTTGAAGTAAAGATTTCAGTTTAGAACATGGCAATATCCAGCTTGTGGATGAATAACAAAGGATATCATAAATAAATAGCTCCTACAACTGGATGCATTTCAAATATCTAACACCCAAAAATCCAGTAGCAAAAACACTTTAATAGGAAAACAAAATTTTCAATCATTTTAAATGGTCATCATCATCATATACCTGCTGTTGCATCCAATGAAAATAATGTTCCTTTTATTTAAAATTATGCTCCAATTATGAACTCCATTTGAATTTACTAAGTTAAAACCTAATGATGACTATTTAAGATGATTGAAAACATTTCTTTGTCTAATCAAGTGTTTTTGCTGCTGGATTTTTGGGTGTTAGTTTATTTAAAGGATATTACTATTCAGAAGTAATATTTGATTCATAACTCTAGAGTTTGACAACTACAGTGGGTGATCGGTTAACGAACAGATCAGTTAACGAACAAATCGGATAACGAACACTTTCGTGAAAGATTTTTATGATCAGACAATNGTTTGACAACTACAGTGGGTGATCGGTTAACGAACAATTCGGATAACGAACAAAGTCTTGGAACGGATTATGTTCGTTAACCGATCACCCACTGTATAAGGAGTTTCCATAGTGTGAAAGAGATCTTATGTAAGTAGAGTTGACTGAAGTTTATAACATATGAGAACTTTGGAGAAACTAAAGAAGTTCTATCTATACTTGAAGCATGGCTGCTAAAATATGAAGTTACAAATTAGCCTTAATATAAGGCAATTAGTAAATGATGTCTTGAATAGAAGATAGATCCAATGAACAGTGTTCCAAAATAAATGATTATTATGTTTCCTGATTTCTCTCCAAGAATAGTTATTAGTGACTGTGAAATTTACATTAACTGTAGCTTAAAGTCAAATCTGTCAAATTGTAACTGAATCTTGATGATTGTATTTATACAATTGATGAATAAATTTAGGAAATAACTGATTTTTTGGAGCAGAAAATGAATAAAAGCTATGAGGTACTGTTCTGATATTCAGATTGACAGCATTCTAAAAAAGAAAAAGCTAGCATCTGAAAATATTTTACAACATTATATTTAATTTTAGGAATTATTTTAGCTATGAATGTTTTTTAAGGACTTGAAAATATTTATTGAATAATTTTTCAATGATATTTTTAGCCATTTGAGCTATAAAAAATTATTTTATTCAATACATTTATTCATCTAATCATTTCACATTCATTCATTTATATTTATTAATATTTATATATAAAGTTACTATAATTTTTTAAAACAATATTCAAACAAATTTTAACCTATTATAATGACTAAATAAAAAATAAAAGTAAAAACTGTTGTTTTATAAAATATATTTATTTCAATCATCAAATTAAATAATGTAATCTATGTATTGAAATTTCTTCATTTTATAAAATGTACATTATTTGAATAATTTTTAAATTAAATTAAATAACTAAAAGTTCATATTTAAGTTTTTGTAGATCTAATATATTTGTTCAATTTATACAGCTAATACAGAAGAACATAGTAATTTAATGAAAGCATTAGAATGTAGTAGACAAATTCTTTCTTATGTAAATCAAGCTGTAAAAGAAGCTGAAAATCAGCATAGGTTAAATGAGATACAAAAGAAGCTTGATAAATCTGCATTAGAAAAAGTTGATCATCCCATAGCCCATAATTATAAAGTAAGCATAATATTTTCTCTCTTTATTTATTTATTTAGAAATTTCATTTGGACATTTAAAAAAATAACAATACAGTAGAGCATCAATTATCTGAATCAATTTGGGACTGGGGTTGTTTGGAAAATTGATTTTTCGGATAACCGATTATGTACGAAAAAATATATTAACCTATCCCATGTTGAAATTCGTTCAAATCCTGGCATGTCCTTAAGTACCCTCTCATGATCGTGCTAGTGCTGTCAGCTAAAACATTCACACCAACAAAAATAATATTGGAGTAGCCCAAAACATAGCCAAAGATTGCAGTGCCACAGCTCTAGCGGAAATTTAAATTTGCCGACTGGAAAGCTTTCGGTTAATTGACGTTTTGGATGATCGACATTTGGATAATTGATGCTCTACTGTATATGATATTTAAATAATAAAATTGATTCTAATCGCTAAACCACTTAATGCTTTATTGGAGATATTGGTATACAGTTGGGTATGCCAGAATGAATGATGCTACAACTGATAGTTTTTATCTACAAAATTAAAATGTTACAATGAATATACTGTAGATGTTACAATGAACATGGAAGAATATTATTAGCTGATATAGCTCTTGCATGCTCTTGACATGTCAAGGTTTTTCCACTTTGATTAGAGCATTAAACTTTGTCTTTATTATAGTTTTAAGGTTCAAATATTTGTTTATTTGCATCTTTTGCTTATTTGCAATAAAAATATATTTTTAAAATTATTCTGCTATATAATTTTAGCCATGAGCCAGCAAAATAGAGTGAGAAACTTAATAAACTTAGAAACTAAGAAAGAAATAATTTTCAAGTGAGAAAGTGGAAAAAGTGTAAGAGATTGGAGTGCTGAATATGGTTTGGATAAATCAACAATCAGTATGATTTTAAGAAAATAAGAAAAGAAGAAATAATACACACATTGAAACGGAAATCTCTAGATTAAACAATTTATGTTCTAATATCATGGATCAGATGGAAACTCTTCAGTTTGGATTAGTGAAAAACAAATGGCAGTTATTATGGAAAATTTATTCATACTTTTAATAAGGAAAGATTTTATATGCTTTTCGAATTTACAGATATAATGTATAAAGTTAAATTAATTAGAAACACTATCTTAAACTGGATGTATGCAATATAATAACACTTCCAAACCTAAAATTCAGTTAAAAGAACAGAAACATTTATTACAAAACAAACACTTTTAACCTTTACAAATGCCAGTCTGAGGTTATAAAGGTAGAATGCAAATCAAACAACGAGATAAATTTGAAAGAAAATGTTTCTTGCATAAGAAGTTCCCATGCACAGGAGCTTAGTAATATATTATAAATTAAAACAAACACAGAAGAAAAGTGACATATACAAAAAATATAAATAATTACAGATAACAAAAAGTCACAAAAAACAATAAATGTACTAAGATGAACTGTTTATAAAACATTACATGGTTGTTAAATGTGCTCAAATACCACCCTCTAGGCATGCAACATAGAAGCTGTGCTCTAGATATAACATTGTATCAATATATCTCAATAATCTCAAGATATTTTAGATGCAATGGTAGTGCATTTTTATGCTGTGTCATCACAGATTTTTGGGCTATACATAATTTTTTAAAATTTTATTTTGGGTTGTATAGGGGGTTGTCAGCATGCTAGTAGGGAAGGGATACTTAAGGAAGTGTGGATTGGCAACATCACTCTTTTTTCTGCCTGATGAGGATTTACTCTGGTGAGACTATGAAAGGTGTATTTTCTTTGTGTTGGGGTGCATCGAGTAACCATGTGGTGCAGTTAGAAGTATGTGCAGGTTTTGTGTTATCGGACATAAAGTAAAAATCCATTTGCATCAACAAAAGTATTGAACATTTAGAACTTTGTGTTAGAATTATGAACTACAAATAGTGAACATTGTCTGAGGAGTATTTTTTTTGTGATTGATTCACGTGCATTTTAACATCAAGGATTCACTCATATCCAGCTCTGAATACCGACAAGTGTGTTTGGAACATAGGTGCGTATATATGTATCCTAGTGCATCTTGTAATTCTTGTATGTGTGTAAATATACTTATATATATATATATATTAAGTTTATGTACAATATATATATATTCATATATATTGTACATAAACACATAATA